AATTTTAATGCTCAACAATCAAACTTTCTCGGAAATTGAAAACAAACCGCCTGATACTCCATATCGTCCAGCAAAAGATTACTTTTGGCTCAAAGCTTTGAAATTCAGGTATTTTTGTGTAATAAATGATAAATGAATGACTTACGATCAATATCAATGTTGTTGTCTAATTAAAAAGCAAAGACACAATTAAAGCAAGCCAATTTTCGCAGATATTAAAATCGTTATTTTATGCATGTCCGACTTGGTTCAAATGATCTCTAAACATTATGAAGCCGTATCAATTTTTAAGATTAATGATTTTCTTAAAGATGTTTGTTATGCCAATCAACCGATAAAAACAGAAACTATTAAATTTACTCATCGTAACAGAGTCAAGATGCATCTACGTCGTTAACTGATCGCGTCAAAATATTACTTTTCTAACTTTCTGCCAGAAACTACCGTCAAACATGAAAATTTTACGTGTTCATCTGATTTTGACGAGTTTTCGGGGTTGTTTTCAATCCGTAATGTAAGCTCCCGACGAAAACAAACCAACCAAAAGCGCAATTTATATGCCTGAAAAATTTTCTTGAGCTTTCGTCAAATATTATAATGCCCTTGTACGAAGTCAACTGACGGTTTCGAGCTTGGATTCACACGGAAGATCCATTGAGACAAAACTCAGCAGGTTAGCAACAATGCAATTTGAAAATGTTTAGTTCCTTTCCCTTTCAAAGTGTTCTGTTACTTGAAACAGAATTGAAACTCGCCAATATTTCATTCCTGTAAACGAAAGACAGACAAAAGAACGCAAATCTACAAACAGAACACTCCCGCAAAAATTTCATGTTTAACGGTAGATTTCAGTTTATACCACAGCTATTGATGAACGATTCAAACAAAAAGTGGGAAGTTCAAAAGAGTCTTCATCGACACTTATCGCGAAGGATGTTACATTTAGCACCATATGGGAACTTGTTTTTCCCAAAGGCCCCGAATTGTAGGTAGACTCTATCATGACTGGCGCAATCGAGGCTTTGTCGAGATCGCTCGCTGCATTCGTTTGGTTCGTTATGTAATAAGCTTGAAAGGATGTTGGCTGCCCTGGATTGTGGCCCCCAGTCTTCCATATCCACTTATCACAGAGTAGGTAGCCAACTTTGACTGTGCCGTTGAAACTGAAGAAGGGAGGGACTTGCGATACAGGAAAAGTTTTTATTTCCTGCGTTACGCACTGCTCCTTATCCCATCGAAACTCAGTCTGTGAATAATATAGCGATATATAAGACAATGTGATGGAAACAATGGGTATATCTCTTTCTGATGCATCATTGTGAATCCGTCGGTACTCATGCCCAGCGGAAGAAGATGTGACACCACCCAACCCCCCCCCCCCCCCCACCCCCATAAAAAAATGTAAAAATTGCTCAAATATGCTCGAGTAAAATTCGAAGTGGAAGAAGGTCTTTTAAGTTACCCGACATATATAATATAATAAGCCCTTTCCAAAATGGAGTGGCGCTGGAAAGCCTCACGGGCATCAATTATTTAGAAGCCATGATGCTGATGGAGTATAAAAAAAAGCTCCACTCCCAACGTTCCTTGTGACCCGTGAAGCTTTCTCTGAGTGAGAACAAAGACCTTCTTACCTGATTAAAACCACCGCCAGGTCTTGGTAAAACGAACGTAGACGACCAGTATATTGATCCATGATCGTCTCTCTTTTTAAGATCAGTCAGAGACTGCAATTCCCTCCCAGAACTGTAAGTGGTCTTGCATCCCATGGGCGAGCACACTGTTAGTTTGGAGTTGTAGTACATGGTGAATTTATCGGGAGTCGGCGGTGGAGGTATGAAAGTCTGGCAAGGATCTTCGATGTAGTCTGGACATGGAGGGCCATCAAAACAAACACATCTAATCGAAAAAAAATTCATGACAATAATGATGAAACTCAAATACAAATAACATCAACTAAAAAAATACTTTTTCATAACGAGCGCGTGACAAAAATATGATTTTCTCGCCTTTGGAAATGAAGACAAACCAAAAACTGAGCGAGTTAAAATATTTTCGCGGTTCTTAAGAATCATTCACTTTGGTAATGTCACAATAGAATCAATAGAATTCACCTGACACCCCCCCCCCCATGCTCTGTAGTATTCTACTGCTCTCCTTATTGGCGGGCAATTTTTTACGGTTCCCCCTTTATATTCTGTTGACGACGACTGTTGCCCCCCCCCACCTCAATTCCCCCCGATAACCATGTGACCCTCCCCCAAAAATCCTCTGAACCCCTACCTCCCCCGCTCCCCCCGTTAGATAAACGACGACCGGTCCTTCATGATCCTTGACATTTCGACTCGGTAAATCAGAAGGTGGCACACCTTGTGTTTGGAGGACATGTAGTGATCTTGTCAACCATTTGGCCAGTTTTTTGGTCAACATAACAGTTATGCCAGCCTGTGAGATCCGGGAGACAATAATTTCCTGGGGGACCCTCATCACAAAACTCGTCTGGTCCATCAGCCACTTTCGCAAAGGAACAATGGTACACGAAGTACACGAACAAAGTTACGAACAACTGCAGTTTCATTTTGAAGAAAGCGATTCTCTACGAGACAATGAAATAAGGTATTTAAATAAAGAAACTTTAAGTTAATACACATAAAAATAGAATAAAGCATGAAACAGAGCAGTTTCGTGTCTTGTATTCATTCAAATCACTCAATTCGAAGAACGGATCGAGAGTGCTGCATGACAATGTGACGTTATGAAATGCGTAGTCATATTTCGCGAATAAGTAATGAATTGACGACCAATTAATGCGAGAGACCTATATTCGGGCATTTCATTGAAAAACGGCAACATTGAGGTCTGAATCGCTCTCCTGAAAAGGGACAAGCGAACTTCACTTCCGCAACATAAGTCAACATGCATGGTCAAAGATTGCAAGTTTGTTTCGTGGAAAATTAGCTTGTGAAGTACTCTCTTTTCGAAACCATGACAGCTAGTTGCAAACAGGACACCTCTTAGCAGAAGGAAATCGATTCTATCCCAAAAAAACATTAATTTGCTCACCTCAGAACGATCTTTACTTCGATGATTCCAATGTCGTGAATGTTCAAGCTGTGCAATATCACTTTCGAAACGCCCACCAATCAGCTGATCTTTGTTGCGAATCACATTTCATTGCGAAATTATTTGTTCAATAATCAAGTCACACAATCGCTGGGTGAGATAAACGCTAAGTGCTCCCTCTTATGTTTACTAGTTGATTTTGGAAATTGTCGAATCACGACAGTTTACACGAATCTTTCCTCAATCTTTCAGTAATTAATTTACGGTGGTTTAACTGTCATGCAATCTTTCGAAAGCTAAAGAAAGAAAACACGTTTCAGCGGCGACGACGAACTTTCAATCGAGCAAAAAGTGCGTGACACTACTGTTATTCTGAGGCATTACAAAGTGCGGATTACCTGATACAAACAAAGAAATAAAAGTAGGAAACAAGCCCTTGCTTGCTATTAGAAAGCTAATAACGACAAATCTGATTTAAAATAAAGGTCATTTCGGAGGAAAACATAACTTGAACGAGATGACTTATGTCCAAAACTAGGAGTTTCGAAAGTCTGTCGTAAGCATCCAAAATCAAATTAAAACCTCTCCTGAGTGTTTGATATTTCTGTCGTTATTGCTCATGATATAATTTCATTCCGTCAGGAAACAGCATAATTTAGATAATTTGTTGTAAAACATTTCCAAATTTTCTTAACACTTACCACCATGACGGTTTCAGTTTTGAACGTTTGAATAGCACACTGCTTCTGATTAAAGCGCTTTTCAGTGTAGAGGAAAATTCCTGCTGATCACCTGTTATACGTATTCCTTATTTGTTTACTTGTGTTGGATCTTGCGACGAGATTAACATCAAAGACCCTCTAGTTTATCCCACGAATTCAATTTATTAAGTTATTATACGAAAAATCCTTGGTCCCCATAATAAAATTTTTTGTATGGCTAACTCAGCGACTGGGCAATATAAAGCGAGTCCAAAATAGAATAAAAAAGTGATAGTAGCTAGTATACATTCGTATTTTTTGGGAATCTTCTTACTGTTACAAAACCTTTGTTTTGCTTGTAACAGTAAGCTGCTTTGGCAACCAGAAAATCACCGACAAGTTCTTAGACAATCAAGACGAAGTTGACAACTCTCTAGTATGATCTTGTAATAATTCACAGATCCTTTGCTATCAGTGATCAGAATCAAGCTTTGCATGGAAACAGTACTAGAGATGGTCTTTTTTCTGTTCACTCCTTCTAATTAGACTTACTTTTCGTCAATGCCATCCTCACTCTCATTTTATAAAAATTGTTCGCAAGAGGCTGACAATTTCAGGGAACAATCTATCTTCTTGTGGGACATCTTGAGGTTTTCGTAAAAAAAAAAAACAATTGACGGGTCACGAAAATTTCAGGAGGCAAATCATGCCTTACACTGATTCATAAATTCGTGAACACGCTCGCCTTTCTATAAATTCACATGTCGATCTTGGTCTTAATTATGTGTCGCGAATAAACTCTTGGCCACCCCAGTGAGAGCCTACTCGAGTGTCCCGCGAAATTTTACTTTTAAAGAGGTAATATCTGAACAGACCTTCTTTTTCCTCAGATTTTAACCTCTTAATTCACTTGAAGGCTTCCACCATTGAGTGTACAACAGAAAGGGGGAAAAAGTATAAGAAAACCCGAGAAAGAGGGGGGAGGAAGAAGACAAAATTTGAACATGGGGGAGGGGATGCCAAATTCATACTTGTGTGTCGTATAAGGCCTGAGCACAAGACTACGGAAGGGCGGCGCATGACATATCTACCCTTTTCACTGAGCGGGTTTAAAATTCGTTCTACTTCTCGCAAAAGCTCACATGCGGGCGAACCTTAACAAGTAGAGGAAAAATTTTAAAAACCTCAAGCTGAAATTTTATTGTCAAAGTGAGAAGCAAATTAACCTCTATTTACTTCAAAAAACTCAAGATAGTATAATTTTGTATTATGTGATAAATTTTGTTAGCGACTTTTTATCAAAGAAGATTTGTGTTTTTAAATCTTCGTCAAAAGTCAATAGGGAATCCCTCAATAATTCTTACAGTCTACATCATGAACAGATCTCTTGTTTTTACCTGCTAATAACTATCGAATCTCTTTTGCCAAAAGTCTTCACAGACACGAGCGTGCAAAAAAGTAGAGCACTTTTCAAGTAAGTGTCGAAAAAAAAAACTCAAAGCAAGAACATGAGCCAATCAAAAAAAAAACCGTTTGCTTTTCAGTTTGGATCTGATTCGATGCGAAGGAGCACGGGATTTTTAAACCAATCACCGAATGGAATATAACAATTAAAATGCAATTTCAAATTAGTTTCAACACTCAATTGATAAATGCCCTGTCAGCACTTCTGGCTATGTGTCTCTTGATCTTAAACCTCGGTTTTGTAGAAAGCCGCGACCCCCTGAGCGCAGAACGTAGGCATCGTCAGCTGGCTTGGATCCAAGAAATCCGTGAAAAACGAGTAGTACATGGTATCAGTGTATTCAGTGTTATTGCTGCTGGGAGTCGGCCGTGATATGGACTGGTACATATACGGCTTGTATCGACCATCAGGGAGGCTCTCCAGGAACCATCTCTCTAAGGAAACCATCTCGGTCTTACTGCGGCCCCCAGACTCCCAGGAACACATTTTCAATGTAGCGTTGTACTTTTCAATGAACTTCTCCGACAGATCACAGGTGAAATAATATGGAACTCCAAAGCGCGGGAAAATGGAGCGGGTTTTAAGGATGCAGCTCTTCTTAAACCAAGCTGTGTCGAACTAAAATATGTAAAATGATCAGGAAAAAAATATTGACAGTGTTGAGAGTTCTTAGATTGCAGGGAGGGGAAAAGGATGCATTCGCAAAATGAAACTTATCAGAAACATACTCCTTGAACGCGTTCACTTCGTTGCTATTTCTAACAATAAGCGACTTTTGGGTGACATTTATTCCCTCTCTGAACTTTTCTAGGTGCCTTTGAGGAAGTATAACTGTGAACATGACAATCTCGTGCATGAAAAAGCTACCACCTGCGCTTGAAAAAGAAAGCTTGTCCACCAAAGAACAGATTGTGTCATCCGGTGCAAATTAGTGCGCGCTTCGTTCATTGGATAAAAGTACGGGCTTAAAAAACTCCATATCAATTGCGAAAGTTAAAGAGTACAGGCTTTCCTATATTTGAATTCACGAACCAGAATGTGTACCTGGATATAGTCGTCGTTTTCGATGTATTGGAAAGGAAAAATAAACCGCGTGGTCCAGCTTATTCCAATTTCATCTATTCGCTGCTCTCCAGCGGTGGCGTTCTGCAGCATTTCGCCGATGTTCGTCACAGTAGTGCAGGCTTTGTTCTTACAATTTGTGACTGTTGTGGTGTAAAACGTGGAAAACACCTTTGGCAGGGGAGGGGGAAGTTGATATGTTGCGCAAGGATCTGTTATGTTCGCTGAACAGCTAGGACCGTAGAAACACTGACACCTAGATGGAATCACACAATAAAATAATTGTGAGTTATTTGTGTAAAAAAATGGTTTTCAGCCGACATGACGCGGCGTTCCGATTCGGCCAAAAGACTTATAGAGATACCTCTCAGAACTTTAACTCTTTACACCCGATAATCAGTATGTACATTCTCCATACTGTTCTCTATACGTTTACTAAGGTGCCGATAAGGAGAATTTGTTAAGCAATCAACAGCTTCTTTTAGTTGGTGATCATTTTCTTCAAAGTGTGATTGACGAGTGATATTGAAGGCGGGAAAAATTAGATGCTAGGCACCCTTAAGGGTCAAAAGGTTACTTCCCCCCCCCCCAACATATCTGAAATCTCCTCACCTTTTGTTGGGTGGACAATTGTGTTTCGTCTCTGTCATCTTTTGGGTCTTAGCATCAATTTTGCAATCATACCAGCCGGTAAGGTCCTTGTAACAATAGCGTCCCGGGGGGCCCTGATCGCAGAAGTTCCCAGACGAGAAGTCCACTACGAGAAGCAATAGCAGATGAACGGCCACAATTACGAGCTTCAGGGACATTTTTCTAAAGGAGAAATTTATAGAATGATGAAGTAAATTTTACGAAATATCTGTGTCAATGTTTGGTTGAAAAACTGAAAAGTGTTTGAATATATAGAGAAGCTCTAAAACAATTAAGCGCAACAATTCATGAGCGATCGAGCGGACGAAAAGCGAACTAAAATATGTTATTTCGTGTAGTTGTGAATTAGCCATTTTATCAGTGATTTCTCGGGTTATGTTAAGTGAGTTTTCCTTAACACAACACTCCTATGTATCAAAATGCCTTGGCTTTTCGCTCAAAGGAAGATGATGGGTAGGGCAATAAATTAAATTGTTTACTTTGAGTCTATAGTTGAGATGAAATGACAGCGCTATTGTTGCTAATGGAGAGACTAATGTAACTTTGTTTATTTGTTTGCGATAACTGTTTATTTTTCTATAAAAGCAAGGTAGATGAACAGTTCCGAAGCTTTTCGCTTAACTAATTGAGGAATTTCTCTTTATACGAGTTTCGTCTGACGAAAATCTCAAGGGTTTTCTTTTGTTTTTCCTTGGTACACCAGAAACCTCCTCATCGAGAGACAAGTTTATCTTCATTACGAAAACAACGTAGTTACGATTCTTAGGAAAGGTGACGTGAAAAAGCTTGTAGACGGATTAAAGTTTAATTTCGTTATGGAAGACAGGCAATGGTAAGGTTTACTGGTTGAGTTGAACAAGGAAAAAAACTGAGCGGGAGAACTACAGTATGTTTCAAAAGTGATGTTTACGGAGAACCATATGAACATTTTGTCACAATTTAATTCTTACGTGCTACGCCCACAAAAAAAAAAAAGCAACGAAAAATAGCAAGTAGTAAATTGTTGAAGATTCCAGGTAAATCCAATCGTAGCGACAAAAGAAGTTATTTCCAATTGCGAACTCTTCCGATCGCTCGAGAGAGCATCATGAAAGAATGTGACATTACCCCCTGTGGAGGACGTTCCACCCCGACTTCATCTTTAATTTGCAGCTATAGCTCACACATGGTTTGCATCGCGGTCAGTGCGTACAAAGCTTTTTGATCGCTCAAAAAGAACACATTTAAGGATTTGAATCGGTAAAAACAGTTTCTCCGTGAGGTTACTATAAGTAACAATTTACAGGCATTTTCTTTATCAAAGGCGATGGACTATCACCAATTTGCTGAAGTCCAGTCCTTGGTTCAGTAAATACATAAGGTTCTGATTTGAAGAACGAGAATTAGTTGTTCGATATATGTCAAGTCGAACTCTGCCAAAATCATACTCTAACTAATTAATTTTTAAGGAGGGATAAAACTATGAAAGGAACCAAGAAATTAATATAAAGTGGATCACTTACATTTGCTTTGTCTCCTCTCCTAGTGCAATTTTACAAGAGTTGCGTTTGATTCCTGGTACAAAGGGAACACCTTTTTATACCGACAGTTGGGCCATAGAGTGGCTAATAATAGATCTAACATTAAAACCCATGGGAAAATTACGGAACCATTTGTTTGAAATATTCAACTGATTAGGCGCAAAGAAAAATACACTTAAGCCACTGATCAAAGAGATATTATTGGGAAAGCGACAATGAATGCAAACTGGCTTTCGAGATAGTTTGACAGAAACAGGAAATTTTTGCCAAAAACGGTTTAATTCAATGAATGACACCCTTTCCTGGTTGAAATAAGAAGGAAATATTATGGTTATGTTTGATAGAATAAAGCTGAACTTCGTCTTTCACATGAAACATTGTCAGCTAAAGCTGAGCGCAGATCGGCGCAAGATTATAACTTGGCTTTGATGCTCAAACAGCTTTGTGCAAATAAGTTCACAGTTTACCTACCAAAGAACTGATGACATCTCCACTACTAAATATGCTGGGTTTTATTCAAAGTCAATTATTTAGTTTTTTAAACAGTTCTGGCAAAGTTTTTCATCTAAACGAGTACAAAGTGGCAAGTACTAACATTGCCAAACATGGAAATCCAAACAACTTTCAAAGACAATCGTGGATTCGTTCACAGCGTACAATTTTGTCACATTGTTAAAAAATTTCTGTCAACTCTCGGCATATTTTAGTAAGTTTTTGTACTTGAACGATACGTAATGCAAAATGAATGTCTCCCTCTTTATTGTTCTCAAACACTCGTCCAAGGTCGTTTGTTTGACAGTTTTTATTTGTATCATGCAATACCGTTTTCAATTTACACCCGAAATGATTAAGGAAATTAGTTAGAAAAACAGTTCCACTAATCAGAAAACAAACTGAAATTAATTGATTCGACCTCCCGGATGAAAGAAAACTATTCACTAAATGACCGGTAGATTTCACCAGAAACCAGACCCTAAAACTTCTGAACAAATAAAGCGCTAATTGTCTAACATAGGCTAAATGAATTAATCCCATTTACGGAAGACTTACGAAATCTTTCGTTAATTAAGCTTGGTCTGGGGTGAAAAAGAAGAAGTTACATATTGGACTTTTACGAACCGTTTCCGTCTGATGCACTCGTTTTTAATTTTGGGGCTAAGGTCGAAAGTTTTCTCTTTTTGCGATTTGAGCCTCAAAACGTTCTAAACTTATTCTTAAAGTTGTGTGGTATAGTATTCCAATAAATCATTTTGGACGTGACCAGTGTATCAATAGAGACCTTAAGCAGTCAGGACGGTAACGCCAAGGAAGACTTCGATTAAAAAATTGATTTCTGCCTTTAATTAGAATTTTAAAAATGGCTGTATGCGTTTACCGTCTCCTACGGCGCCACACCTCAACTTCAGCATAACGTATAAAAGAAGTCTTGAGTTCCAAATGGAAATTAAAATAATTTGCCGTCGCGGTTTCGGTTCGCAGACGACACAAATTGTGGTGATTTTACGTTGTTGTTTTGAATAGGATGGCTAAGAAATGTACAAAGTCTTAAAACGCACGTGCTGAGCTATTGTTCTGCCAATAAGATCTCATGTTTTTCCATGTCCTCGTTGCCGTCGCTGTCATGGTTTGCTTAAGGTCCCTAATGCAACAAGAAAACCGCATTGCTAATGTTGAAAATATCTCTAGATATTTCAGTTTATTGTCCTGTTAGACCATAGTTTTACATTTCTTTTACTTTGATTTTTACTTCTCACAAAAAAGAGGGTGAGTCACTTATTCCGCTTTTAGTTGCCTCATTTAAATTCCATCCCCATAATTGAGTGAATTTCCGATGTTATTATCAATGGTACGTGTTTCGAGACTAATTAATTTAGTGTTGAGACTTTTGACTTCGTTTCAGACACTGTAATATTCACAAATGAGGGCAAAGTCGTTGCAAGTGTCCATACCATTATGCTAGAATAATGCAGACCACCCGCATGTGGAAAAACTTTCCGGCTATGAAAGATCCCTGTGAATTTTATGGATCTGACTGGGACTACAACTAGTTAGGGTGAGGGGGAGGGTTGGAGTTCTAGGAAGGGGCATGTCGCGCCTTGTCCATATCCTGACCCTAGTTCAGACCAAACCAGGCCATTTTCTATACGCGTTTTCAAAGCTTTTATACAAAGTGCATACCCCATAAAAATACTCATGCATTCAGTTGTAGTCTCGCTGGATTCCCCATTCAAAACGAAAACCGAAAAAAAACTTTATAACAATACTCTTTGGGATGACACCTACTCTAAGAAATAGCTTATGCAGGTGAGTATCATCCCGACCCCTCCCCCTCACCGCCCAAACCCTTTTTCACTAAGATACGTACGCTCACGGGAAAGGTTTGTAAATGGAAGTTCCTTGAAATGATCTTTATAATCAACGGTGTCATTTTAGACTCTCTAAATAACAAGCAGAAGTTCCCTGCTTAGTCGTTTTTCTCAATTTTTCAACAAAATAGCCAAGGACATTCCTTTCGGGACGTGTTATGTTTGTGCGAAGGCGTCTCCAGTAAAGCTTTACACTACCTGTTCCTGTTTTGGACCATTTGCAGTTGGTTTATTTGTAAGAGTTTCTCATTTCAAAGTGCGTCAGTTCCGGTCACAAGCATTGTGCACGCAGACATTGGTTATTCAATAACCCGTTAGCAGGCCCCCTTTGCTTACGTTCCTTGCCCGCGAGTAAGTTTGAGGCGAGCGAGGAATGGGTCGGCCGGTGATCTGGCAAACGTCTCATGCAAAATCCCTTGTTGAAGTTGACTTTTCGAAGGTTTAGGGGCTAACGCACGAAATGTCAGATTGAGAAACCCTCTGCTGTGGCAAAATTATATTATCCACTCAGTTGATACAACCAAATTATCCTGTATAACCCCCCACTGACGCAACATGCACCACAGTGTCACAAGAAAATTACCCCATCCTAGTTATTCAATGGTTAACAACTGCAGTCAATAAATGGTGCGCAACTTGGCCAATTAAGACTCCCATCTGAACCGGAAGCCTTTTTACAACTTGTAAACTCCCGATATACGGGAGTAAGGCACCGAGATACGTTTGACGTACTACCCACCACTGAGTGTTTACCCTTAACTATAAAAATTGAGTTTGCGCAATTTGTGGGAGTAACTTTCAAGGTGAAGCGTCAGTCAAATTCAAGCGTTTCCTGGGGACGTCAATAAAAGTTATCTAAAAATGTATTGACCTACCTTTTTCCGATCAAATTGTTCCTGCTTTGAATTCAAAGTGAAGCAATGCATACCACTGTTGTCGGTGTGAAAAAACCGGAAAACGAACTTGTCTCATGTTTCACGGTCGGGGTTATTCATTAACTCTCGTGTTTTTTAGCCTACGTGTAGCAGTATCCTCCCCTTACGTTACTCCTTGGGGGGAGGGTGCGCTTACTCATAAGCGACGTGTTGCGTTCTCAAAAATGAATAACGAACAAGAAAAGTTAAAATTAAGTGAGGCAAAACTGACTTACTCTGATGCGCATAAGGATCCAATTTGATTGGTGTTAAAATGCCGAGAAGTCATTTTCCAGACTGTTAAGGTGAAGTGACAAAGGCACTCTGCTGGACAAGGTTACCCACAAGTCTACGTACA